TGTTTTAACAGTCGACCTTGGTTCGGCTTGTCCAGAAGTCCGCAACCTTATCATCAGTTGGACACCAGTCCACACTGATCTCCTTCTTTGCGACTCTGTCGCTCACAAAGAAGTACCTAAGTTTGATGTGCTTCGTTCGTTTACTACTAGAAGCTTTGCCGTTTCTTCTCTAGAAGAATGGCACTCTTTTTGTCCTGATAGACTATAGTTTCTTTAACTACATAGCCTTGCTCCCGAAGGAACTGCCCTCGTCCAAAGGACGATGGCATCAGGTCATCAACTGCTACGAGTTCACTCTCATTGAGCTTCTCGTGTTCAACTTCTGTTTCGTCGAAGTCGATAATGGGTAACGGTGCCCATGGTCAAACCACCTCCGGTGACCCCTCATGTTTGATGGACTCCGAAGGAACCATCAACATCCATTTCAATATGCCACTTCCGTCGGCTTTGAGACTAATGGTAGTTTTCTAGTACGTTAATGTACTGCATGAGGTGACTAGTTTATCCCAATCGTGCCTATCTGGTTCCTTGACTCTAGTCGTAAGGAACGATATCGCCGTACCTGTGTCTGGTCGGGCTCTCTTCGTAGCGAATAACACCTTAGCCACCAGGCTGTGAAAGGTGTCTGCCTTGCTCATTGGGAGCTTCTTGCAGGATTCGTCTACTGTGAATAGGTCTTTCGGGGCTGCACTACTTCTAGTTTTCGTGCCCCCTTCCTCTGGCGATGCCTTCTCGAAGGCTTCCAGGTTTTCATCAACGTACTTGTAATTGATACGTTGCATTGACCCTTCGTCGTGAAGTCTATGGTCTGCCAAGATACGTGTGGACCTTTCCTCGGCTCACCGTCATCTCTCCATGCCTCCTCGAATATGCTTTCGTTATTCATCACGAAGCACTTGAATCAGCTGGTCGTTAACCTTCGATGTCCTTGTGGCTAAGCTTACAGTCGTCTACATGCAGCAGACTGTTTGTTGTTGCCGTGCACCATTCTGTTGGCTACACAGGGTCGTAAGGATTAATCTTAAATCCGTTCCGGAGCATCTCTTCCGGAACTTACGGTAGTATAGTAGGTAGCTACCATGGTGCCTGGATGGCATTCAAGCATTGCGTAGCAACTGCTTGTTGCTTTCTTATCCGTTGTTACGAACGGTTGTAGACATCGGGGCTATTTCACACAGCATGTCTACTAGTCTCCTCTTACTCTAATGATTACCATGTCTTTTTCATCCTCGACTCTTGTCTGGATGAAGGCGTTCGGATGTCAATTACTGCCACATCCTTTCCTCTTCAGCGTCGATTATGCAGGATATAGCACTGCTTCTGTCGACACTGTTGGCGAGCTTGGTCTTCCTTGGAGATGAATCACGCTGTTTGTTGCCTCCTGCAACCGCTCGGCCTTTATTTTCCCGTTCCTTTTCAACTTCAGGAACAGGTGTGACTCTAGATACTCTTGCGTTCCATATCGCTGAGTTCTCCATTTTCTTCGGACGGAAGGTATCCTTGAGATGTAACTGTTTCATCTCGGCAAAGGCTGCATCGTCGCTTTGTCCTTCCACTCCTTGAGTCCAGCCTTCAATGACAATTGTGTCATGATGGTGCTACCACATCAGGTTCTTCTTCTACCTGTGTGTAGAAAATGTGTGCATCTGGGTGCAAGACACGTTCAGTTGTATGGACGTTTGGCGTCTCATACTTCTTTCCATCAAAGCTGGGAATATACGATTCCTTTGCTTGTGTTCCTCACTCTACTAGACCGCGCACTCCTGGCGTCTGATCAGGTGCCGCTTGGGTTTCAACACCACTCCTGGGATCTGTTCAGGGGCTGTTGGTCCGTAGTAGGTTCCGGTTCCTCTACCGTTTCGACGATAGGTTGTGTAACCGGTTCCGTTTCGATTTTCGGTTCAACGCCATTTCATTCGGTTCGTTACTATCGATTCGGCGTCGTTTGTTGACGTTGTCCTGGGGATCGTCGGGATCATCTTCCATTTCGTCAATGGTTTCAGCATCCGCGTCCATGTCCTCATCGGTTTGGATCATTTGTAGTGGGGTGCGTCATTGCTTTCTTCCCCTTCACTCCTGTGATCTCGACATCACCAATGGGTCTATTTTTTCGACAGTAAAAACGAGTAGTTTAGGCTGATCTTTTCCTAATAGATTTGACTCTAGCTATCACTGTGTCGGGCATTGGGATCTTGTCCCATGAATGCCGAGTAATTTTCTTGCCGGAGCGGAGGCTCATAAATTTGTAGCCTCCTTGTTTATTTCCGCTCGTTCCCATACAGATGGCCGCCTTTGTGCGTCCTACCATGCTGTTACGGGGCAGTCTTCTTCATGCACCTGCAGTAATCTCCGAACTGCAGGCTCAGGTGCTTTTATAGTCCAGGGACTCTCCCTCATTATCATACGGGGCTCATTGTCTCGTGACCCCCGCTTACTTGGGAAGTACGTCTACTGTTTGACGACTTGTAACACCAAGTTGACGGTTAATATTTTTGGCATGCGTGTAAACGGTAGGCTATGCCGGACAGCTCGTGTCCTTTCCTTGACTACCCGGATTCTACGTTCGATCTCGGGTACGTGCTCGTTAGCACTGGCAACGTTCACTACCGGTCCACCCGGCATTGCCATGATTGTGTTGGACTGAGGCTCAAACTCATTGTCCAAATGAATGGTCGTGATTCTAAAACCACGAGCCTTGTAGAATCGTATAGACCTCCTGGACTGCGTCTAGGATGGTCTCTAGCTTCCTGTGGGCAGGTGTCTAGATGTTGTAAAATCGATTTACGGCTTAGCGTTAACAGGAACGGAATTCCTGCCACAAAGAAAAATGTCCATCGTTAGGAACACATCCTTGTGTAATTGCAAAAAGTCTCTCGGCACTTTCATTGCATTGCCTGCCACTGCGTTCGTTTTCGTACGAGTGTCTTGCCTTTCAGCGCATCAATATCCTTGCCCCATATGGCTTGTTCCGTGTCGATGTCTTCAACGGTCACTGGGCATTTGCGATTTGATTGCTCATAATCGCCCATCGAAAATCTTTAATCGATGGATGACGAGTTGCTTATATAGCAGCTTCGCCCTTGATGCGGCTTTAACTTGTCGTTTGCTGAAGCCTTCCTTATTTTCGGCGACAGTATTCACAAGTGCCTTCCCTTTTTTCCTAGGGTCATGAACGTGTAATCCTTCACTGTTCATTTCGTATACTACGTCCGGTAGGCCTGGTCTAATGACTGTGTAGTTCCTTTCGGACAGTCATAGACGATGTTGCAATTCTTGCGGACATTCTTCACAGATAAGATGTTCGTGATTCCTCTTTCATCGAACCATACTCTCTGTTTGTGCCAGCTAACTTGGCTGTTGCTGGACCTTCAGCTTGCCTCCGGTACTCTTCACTGTAATTGGACGATCGGCTTTCCTGATGTCGGTAACCATGTCTTTATTACAGAATAGATCAACGTGGACTGGTTGTCCAGTAGCTGGATCTCTCTCATATCTATGTCGTCCAATCCTTTTGTGTGGGCGACTATGCCTTGTTAGTCGGTTTCTTCGTTTCCGTCTTCGTTCCGTCCGCGAATGCGGTACGTCGCGTAACGAAACCTTTTTCGACTTTCTCTTCATCTGACTGCGTGATGTCAGAGTCGGCATCATCCGTTCTTCCTCCAGGTTTGTCATGCTGTCGTCATTTTATCTTGCATTTTGCTGATAGTAGCTAGGGTTTCCTTTGAACGCTACTAGAGCTTTTCTTGCTCGACGTGCTTGACTTGTACGTTTGCTCGACTTGCTAGACTTGTCATCGTCGTCTTTTGTCTTTAGTCTTCTGTCTTTTTCTTTCAGGACAAAGTGCGAGGTGGATGTCCTTTATCGTGGCAGTAAAGCATTCTTTCGTCTTTCCTTAGAATTCTTTGTCATAGCCGCGTTCCCGCGGCCTTTTCCTCTGCCACCACCCCGTCCTCTCCGCCTTTGTGCTGTCTGAGCAAAGGAGCTTCGTTGGAAGTTGACTGTCAGTGGATGTTACTTTGGTGTGTTTTCCAAGAAGGTGTAATGACTCATGTAAGTGTGGTGGATAGTTGTCAGTGCTTTGGCAAAGTCGTCCCTAGAGGTTCTGTTTAAGCTTGGTATTTTGGCTGAACTATTTGTTAATAAGAGTAGCTATAGTATCTGTTCTTCAGCGTATCCCAGACTTTCTTCTGGTCATCGTGCTCCATAGGTCAGCGTATGCTGTGTTGAAGTGAGGTGGTGCCGATCGAACGTGGACAAGTTGATGGGTGTTGTGGAACACTCAGAGCCAGGGCACTCAGAAGGAGGGTCACGGTCGGACAAGAAGGTCCGTTCAAAGAAGGAGCGCTAAGCGCAGTAAGTAAGTAAGTAAGCATGGTCGACGACTAGGACAAGCTCGACGACCACAGGAGTGTGTTGGGGATTCGCGATTAGGGATTCAACCCCTGTACCTCTGTACTAGAATTTCACAGTAGAAATACAGAGCCCACCCACTTTTTCAGTAGTATCTCAATAGCAAGTAAACTAGAAGAGAGCTTAGAGCAACTAACAATCCTGGTGTCACCATTGGCAAGGATGAAATGGGGCTTTCGGAAGGGCTACCGGGGACTACAGTTGGAATTGCTGTTGTTGGATTTGCACTGGGGGTACCTGGTGTAACTGTTGGTGTCATTCTTGGAGATCCTAGTGTCACGGTTTGAATGGCTTTTGTTGGACTTGAACTGGGGCTACCTAGTGTAACGGTGGGCGTAAAACTGGGAGATCCTGGCATCACGGTTGGCAAGGATGAAGTGGGGCTTTCTGAAGGGCTGCCGGGAACCACAGTTGGAATGGCTGTTGTTGGATTTGCATTGGGGCTATCTTGTGTAACTGTTGGTGTCAAACTCAGAGATCCTGGCATAACGGTTAGGATGGCTGTTGTTGGACTTGAACTGGGGCTACCTGGTGTAATGGTTGGCGTAAAACTCGGAGATCCTGGCGTCACCATTGGCAAGGATGAAGTGGGGCTTTCTGAAGGGCTGCCGGGGACTACAGTTGGAATGGCTGCTGTTGGATTTGCACTGGGGCTACCTGGTGTGACTGTTGGTGTCAAACTGGGAGATCCTGGCGTCACACTTGGGATGGCTGTTGTTGGACTTGCACTGGGGCTACCTGGTGTAACGGTGGGCGCAAAACTGGGAGATCCTGGTGTCAGGGTTGGCAATGTTGAGGTTGGGCTTTCTGAAGGGCTGCTTGGGATTGGCATGTCACTGGTTGGAGCTTGATCTGAAGCTGCAATCCCTATCGCCATTGCAATCTCGCTGGAACTGGTGTGCTGGTTAAATGATAACAAGAAAGCAGTCTTGTCTGATTCAGTCGAAACAAGGCTGGCTACTTCGGGTTGTGTTGAACTTGCCGAGAAGACAACTTCATTGGAGTCTTGAAGTCTTCGTTGTGAGCTACTAAGTATTTCAACAGTAACAGACTGAAGCACAGGTGAACAATGATCTTTGGGTACTCCTGTATACCCTTGAATGAAAGCCTCCGCTAACGTGTCAGTTGGAACCTCTGAGATATCCCCATCAAATGAGACTTGGTAAGATGATACCAAGTCAATGAACGGTGACAGGCACTGCGGTGAGGGTGGCAAGCTTGGCCATGGTGAGACAATTGTTGTTGGTTCCAAGGTAAAGTCTGTGGCAACAGATGGCGACTCGGTTGCTGTGGGATTAAGCTCCAATGTGGGCTCAGTGGTTGGGTTTGGAGTTGGCATGGCAGTTGGCTCTGTGGTAGGTGCAGGTGTAGGCTGATTGGTTGGTTCAGGCGTGTGCTCAAAGGTTGGTGCAGGTGTTGGCTGGCTGGTTGGCTCGAAGGTGATCTGTGGGGTCACCTCAGCAGTTGTTTCTGGGGTAGCTAGAGAAGAAGGGGCTGATGTTCCAGTTCCTGACAGCCTCGATGGGGTTGAGGAAGAGAAGCTTGCGATTGGAGCTGCATTGCCTGCTGTACCTGTCACAACCATGTGGCTAGCAGCAGTACCACCTACTGTGTGGTCTCCAGAAAATGGTGCAGCTGTGGAAGTTGGGTTGGGACCTGGTGCCAACGATGTTGATTCTTTGACTGGTGATGCATCAGGTGCTGTTGAAAGAGATGGGACGGCTACCACGGGCATTCCCTTGTCTTTTGTTGCCGGGTGCTCAGAACCACTGCTCATAGTGGGATTGAATGATCCGCCAGATGCAACACTTGGACCTCTCATTGCTGGAGCTGTTGTAGTGGGGTTTGCATTAGAAGAAGAATATGATGTGCTTGGGTTTGCCACAGCTGAAGGACTATCAGGTGAGCCTGTACTGGGGATTGCACTGTGAGCATTCGCATCAGCTGAAGTCATCTGAGGCCTACTTGGTGGTTCAACCAGGGATTCTGCAGTTGGAATGTCATTCACAGATTGCATATCATCTCCCTCCGTCCCTGCATTAACTTCATCCACCATGATTTCATTGTTGCGAGCGCCTTCATCAGCAATTTCTTGCAACTCAGCTTCTGGTTGCTCAGATGTTTGTGTTTCAGATTGGCGTGTGGAGGCATCCAATAATCCAGGGAGAATCTCTTGGCACTGCTTGGAGGTGGGGTTATCCACGCAATCTAAGAGAACCTGAGTATCCGCAGTAGATGTCTCTAAAACCACCTTGCAAAAATCAGAAACCGTGCTCTCTTCTGCAGCTCTGCTGCTCTCCAGACAATCGCTGATTTCTGACAGGTCGTTGCTAACAAATGGGGCAATAAAAGTGCCCCCATTTGCTTGAACAGCTTCATATGCCTCGTCAATCTCTTTTGCGCCAATCTCTAGCACTGTCGAGTTGACATCAAATGTACCGTCTTGCCTCATTTCTCTGGTGGATCCTGCCACAACTCTCATTTCTTGAGTCACATTGCCAGAGATGGCGATGACGATGTCAGCTGTTCCATCCCCTTGCAGAACTGGCTCCAGGTTGTATCCAAAGGATGCAGCAAAGAGTGGAAAGAACTCACTGAGGTTAAACTGCATCAAGCGGCGTTGGTCATGTTGCCAGTAGTATTCTCCCGGGGCATTCATCCTCCGCCGTGATCCCGTATTGTCGGGGGCTTCAAACAACGGCTCATGGTCAGGACAACCTTCACAACCCAAGTGTGCCTCCCAGAAAGTTGTTGTAATGCTCTGAACTAATGCTTGTTCATAGTCTTCTGCGGTCATGTTCGTCATATTGAGGCCCCCGCTTGCATTTGACCATGGGCCCCAGTCAGTGTCCCAGCTTTGAAGAATGGCTCTATGCATGACTCGTGCCATCGGATCCAAGCACATTCCTGAGATTTCATTGTAGATATCTCGAAACATTCTGAGAAAACAAAGCAAGAGGGGCATGGTAAGATAATTGTGAATTAGAAATGACAATCCACTAGCTCAGGTTGCCAGTGGTTGCGGCTGGTTTACCAAACCCAAAGAAACTCACTCTTCAAGAATCAATTTCCGAGTTTCAATAGCCTCTGGGGGCAAGGCCTGCACTTGGAGTTCAACAAACCCAATTTTCTTTACAGAATCTTCTGAACACACTGGTGGCACAAACGTGAAATCATAGGCAACTGGTGCCGTAACATTGTTGACGGTTACTCCAGTAGAAACAACAGTCGCTGTAACAGCAGCTGGATTTTGAAAAAGAATATGTGGGCAAAAGTTGAGGCTAAAATTGAGGAAATTCTCAAGCAACACATCTTCTGTTATGATGACCTACCAACTCCCATTGCAATTCCACCTTGTGTTGCGGCCCCAGCTCCTGCCACAGCTCCCGCCATTCCAGCCATGCCGCCCAATCCACCTGCTGTGGCTGCGCCTGCTCCAGCTGCTGCCCCACTGGCTGCTCCACTTGCAGCACTGTTTGCGGCAGCAGATGCCATTTCCGCAACTCCTGGAGGAGGTCCGGGTGCCACACCACAGGCGCCGCCACCCCCGCTGGCACCACCACCACCACCACTTCCGGTTACACTTTGCAGACTGGTGTTGAAGCTCGTGTTGAAATTGGTTAACCCCGGATCTGCGATATCCATCAATTCTTCCGCCAAGTCCTCTGCCCCGACCTCTTGGTTGTCACCATCACTGTTTCCACGGCCTAGCTTCTTGATGATAAAGCCCCATATATTGGTCAGAAATTCCATGAAGCGGGAAAAGACATCATTCTGGATGTAGCCTGTAAGAAAGGCAAGGAAGCCATCTTGAATTGCCTTTTCCCGAGCATCTGCTGAGTCTAGGGATGACACAGATTGATCATGTGAAATAGTATCTTCATCATCATCCTGCTGGGCATGAGATGCTGTCGCTGAGTCTTCTTGTTTGTCAGGCGCCGAGTCATTACTCAAAGCTTCCTCCTCCAACCCTTCCACTATTTGGCTGTCGTTGTTGCTGGTGATACTGTTGCCGCTGCTCTCCTCAACGCTTCCCCGGAGTGTCCATTCGCTACTGGTTTCCATTATGTCGACGACATCATGGTTGATCGATATTGCACGGTGCATAATGCTGGTGTGATCTTGTAATGCAACGCGTTCATGCGGCAATTATGTGGAAGTAATGGAGGAAGCAAGTGGCGCGGGTATTGGGTATAGTCTAAGGTTGGCCGATGCAGTTGCTCCATGTCAAGTCAAAGCAGGCTCTTCTTGATGCGCCCACTGGTAATCAAAAGCGAGTGCTTCCCTGTACATGATCATGCTGTCGGGAGACTTGCATGCTTCGATCCTGCATTCTTGATTGCTTTTGGTGAAAAGGCGCAAGGCCTGCTCTCTTCCAGATTTGGAATTGAGGTAGATGCGGTAAAGCCAATTCTTCATTCTTCCTTTATTTTATATGAAATTAGAACTTTAACCCAATCATTACCATAACTACCTTTCGATTGCTGCCTCGCGATGACAACTGAAGACTGAGGGCGATCCAATCCCTGTCCGAATTTGTTAGAGTGCCTGTGAAGAAGAAGCGTTGTATGTTCTACGTCCTCATACTAAGACTTGTACAGTAGTACACTGTACAAGTGACTGAAAAAGAATCTTCAATCATACAGGCACGAGAAGAAGTAGTACCCATCATTGCGGCAACCATTGCTGACATTGTGGTTGCCATTATTTAAGTGAAGTCCACTACCAGGCATGCAGAGGTGACTCTTCTTTGCCTCAGCCCTCCATCAGCTCATCAGCCGTTGATGATGCCCGGGCTTGGAGGTCTACGTACCGGTAGACGCATCTGTGCTGGTGCGCACCTTGGTTGGGCTCTCTGTCTTTAAGAAACTCACCACACTGGACCTCAATAGCATCTGCATTTTTCCTTACTCAGTAGATCAGAGCAATACGTACGAGTCTGTCGTCCAAGCAGTATCGAATAGGACAAGTCTCAAAGATTAGTACACTGCCTGAATCCATGTGAAAGAACCCGCCAGTTTCTGGTTATAGTACCGTAGCCACCTGTTGCAGCAGAGACTTCCGAGCGACTTGCTCGCAAACCTTATTCGACTTGCCAGCGCTGCCTCCAGATCCGATTCGATTCATCATTCATTCTGGCCGCCATGAGGGCTGAGCTGCTGCTTTTCGAAGCCAATCAACATTAAACAACTACCAGTACTGTACTGAGAGCCATGCGGTTCTCCAAACACCATACCTGGTACTGGCTATTAGCTAGTGGTACAGCCGTACGTAGTACCATGCTCAAACCACCGATACAGTCGTACTGTTACGTCTCCTGAGACGACGCACCTTTTGGTTACCCCCTCAGTTGCACTCTGAAATCGATTGGCTCGCGTTTACTGTGTAAATTAGTGTACCCGCACTTCAGTTGCAGAATCAACGGTCATGTGTATCGTTAAGTAACAAGTTCCCTTTCGAAAGATTTAGATCGATTCGTGGATAAAAAGAACCGTTGAAGGTTCTAAGGTTAAGGTTAAACCAACTCATCCAATGCGCACGTACCGGTACAGCTGTACCAGGTACCGGTACAGGTCCAGCCAAATCCATTGTTGAAGGTGCAGCACTGACTTCTCTCCCTCATTGAATTCGTATGGTAAACAGGAAAGAAATCCAAGCTTGGCCAACAAGAGTGATACATACCGGTAGGAGGAGTCCTTTATCCAATCGGCCGATCGATCGATCGATCGATCGATCGTAAGCCTATTATCAAGAGTGTTAATTGAAGGTACAGCACTGACTTCTCTCCCTCATTGGATTTCTATGGTATTCAGGAGAGAATTCCAAGCTCGGCCGTCAACAGGTGAGTTGTTTTAATTATTCGAATCGAATCGATCGATCGCACCTCTGTTATCCAAGCCTCACTCAAGCTGTCCTTCTCTGGTGCAGAGTCGAAAACCATCCCTCATTCAATCCTATGGACCTTGGGATGGCAGTCAGTTCTCGGCCCATGACGGCCAAGTTGGTGCAATTTGAAAAACAATGGTAAGTCTCCGGTCGTCTGCAGTTGAGCACAGAAAACAAAACTCATATCTATTTGTTGTTTTCTCTGCTGCACTGCTGACGGCCGAGGAAATACCATTGTCGAGTCCTTTTCGAACGATTGATCGCTCCGAATAACACGAGGAAGAAGAGGCTACCGCTACGGAGGTATGTGTACGGAGGAAACTGTTAACTCCAGCCCTACCAACAGCATGAACGGATCGTCGTAGACTCATTGAAAGGGAACAGGAGCAAGGCTAGCTACTCGACAACACACAAGATAGTGGATCCTCCTACCGGATTCATCCCTTCTTGTTATTTCCTACTGTTTTGGTGGTGATTCCTGTGTCGGTACCCATTTTCCTGTATGCGCGAGTCAAGTACTGTTGTCACTAGCTATACGGCAGCTGGCTACAATGGCTGGATTGACAATATTCGGTTGTGCAGTGTATTCATTCATAAGGATCAATGCGAGGTAACCGGAGTGAGCGAGCAAAGCCGAACCTGAGTGTGTTCGGTACTGTTGCCACTGTCACCGATCGATGAACTCTACGATAGCTGGCTACGATGGCTGGATTGACAATGTGTGGGTTGTGGCAATGTATTCGTCATAAGGATCCAATGCAACAGGACCGGTAACATACGAGTGTAGCAGTAAAGAGGAACCTGAGTGTTTTCGGTACTGTTGCCACTGTGACCGATGATGTACTCTACGGTAACTGGCTAAAATGGATACGGCCTGGATACGACAATACCCGTGTGATGTATTCGTCAATAGGATCCAATGCGAGGTAACCGAAGTTGGCAAGCGAGCAAAGCGAAACTGAGGTTGTTGGTAACTGTTGCCACTATCACTGATCGATAGAACTCTTCTGTAACTGGTACGATGGCTGGATTGACAATGTTCGGTTGTGCATGTATTCGTCATAAGGATCCAATGCAAGGACCGGTAACGGAGTGTAGCAAGTAAAGCGGACCTGAGTGTGTGTTCGGTACTGTGTGACACAGTCGCCGATGTAACTGTACGGTAGCCAGCTACAATGGCTGGATTAACAATGTTCGGTTTTGTGCATGTATTCGTCATTAAGATCCAAGTAGCAAGCAAACTGAGGAAAAGGAGACGATGCTGAAAAAAAGCCGAATACCACAAGATGGCAGAAGACGCGTACGGAAGGGTGAAGGGTACTGTAGAGTACTATACTGTAGGTAGTGGAACAGCGGAACATAATTCTTAGGTGCGAAATAATGTTAATTATGGAGACCAACGAAATTGCGAAATTGCTGCGAGGAACAAGTGTTAGGACGTTAGGACCTCAAAGGAAACAACAAAGCTGTTCCAAAGGCGATTTTGTGATGACACCATTTACAGCCTTTGGACTCGCAAGAATAGAGTCAAGGGATTCAATGTCTGGTGTTTAATGCTCATCTTCTCCGAGGAATCGTCATGGCCAAAAGAGAAGTTCGACGCGTGAACCAAAAGTTCCAGTGGTTGTCAATACATAAGAAACAGGACCCCTTGTAGTGAGCTCGTTGAGTTTCTCGTGCAACGGTACCAGTACGAGTGTGCTTGGTGGATAGTACCGTACAGCGCACGATAGACCCGTCATCCGTCGTGGACACCACAATTACATTGCATTACGGAATCGGCTGCTTGTCGAGTACATTGTTTGCCGCATAAACTTTGTGAAATTGGAAAGAGAAAACACTGAAAGAGGAGAGAAAGATGCAGGAAACTTCTTCTGATCCAAAAAACACAGGGCAGCTGAGTGCCTCCATGGCTCCTCCCGTTGCTGTTGCCAACACATGCCATGGCGAAGAGGTGGCGGCCGGCGACGTGGAAAGCAACCCAAAAGAACCAGAAGATTGCTGCTCTCTGGACCAGAACAAGTTTGCGGAGGCGCCGAAGTTGTGTCATGCCGAATCAGATTTGGCCCACTTGGGGTATGACCGAACCTGTGGAGACTCCAATTTCAACATTCACACAGATCTGGAAGCCTTTGCAGCAGAGTTGGCCCATCTACCAACTCCCACTACTACTACTACTATTACGCAAGCGGGTTAGGCTTCCGTTCCTGGAGGCACACGCAGTCCTGCCAGGTTGTAAGATGACCTTTGTGCCTCCGACATACCAACTCAGTGCTGTCCATGAACATGCAAGCCACATCGGTACAGGCCTCGTCACTGCGGAACTGGTGCCAGAAGCAGAGCCCGTCGAAGCCCTTCATGTTGCCCACATCCCCACCACCACAAGTGATGGCACTCAAGATCAAATCAGGCAATTGCAGCAGCGTCTGAGCAGCACTGTCATTGACTCGGAGACACGACAGCAGATCGAGCAGTTACAGCGACAGCTAGATGTTTCCATTAACAACAACCACAGCAGCCATGATGGTGGAAAACCTCCTAAAGCTGTCATTGCAACCAAATGGTGGCGTCTGGGGCTTTTCCTGGTCCTGATCAGCCTCTTGGTCGCAGTTGTGGTGGTACTAGGAACCGTTCTGGGACGAGGTGCTGCCAATGATGACGATCCCGAAATGACTCCTTCCGCACCTGCGACAACACCCATCAACGCCACCGACACAAGCAGCAGCATGATCGATCCTCCTTCTTCGCCAACAACAACACAGCATGACTACGACTGCTATACAAGCACCATGGACGTGCTTCAAGCTCAACTATTTCAGCCAGAGCAACAACTGTTCATCATGTGCCCCCAGTCTCGCATCAAGATTGGTGAACTAGATACACCCGAGCAAGCATCGGTTCGATTCATTAATGGTGACTATCCTTTGGTCATTGTACGAGCAAACGTAGAAGTGCGATGTGGCTTGAGTGGGGCAGTCGACAATGACTGCATTCTGGAGGGTGGCCAAACACAAGTAGCAATGCTGCACGATCTGTATCAGAATGAACTCGGGATTTCCTCGTCACCGGCAACCCACAACGTAACACTGCGAGGAATCACCTTTACGGGAGCGCTAGTGAGTGACTTGCTGTGGGGGTCTGCTTCGGTCACCATTGGCAATCCTGGGAGAAATATCCGTTTGATCAACTGCAAATGGGAAAACATGTTTGCACCCACTGGTCTCATCTATGTCGGCCTTGATACCTTTCAGCAAGCATATGGTACTGCATCCTTGCCGAGTCGGTCCTCGGAGGTGGCCATTATCAACAGTACCTTTACCAACATCACTTATGACGCAGCACTGATTCGGGTCTTTGATCAAGATGTTTCTGTGCAGGGGTGCCAATTCGACAACATCAAGGTGACTAATTATGCTAGACCTTGCTATCATGAGTTTGGACAGGACTGGTGTCATGGACTCATGTACTGCTACGGAGGCAGCTTTTGTGGATTGTCGGATATCTGCGTGGATCAATTCAATTTCTTTGGGCACGCTTCCCTGTTGGCAGCATCCAGCAAAACAGAATGGAGCATTTCTGGAGCCAGATATACACACGGGGTAGAACTCCACTCGCAACCAATGGCCGCTGTGGAGGGTCCTATTTGTGAGTCTGGAGTCGGCCAGTATGACGAGTCCTTTGAAACGGTGGAGTGCCTACCGGTAGAACAAGGAGGCAGACTGTGGACCCACATGTCTCAATGTCCGCTTCATTAGAAAGCTAATCTCAAATAACGCGAGGTAGCGAGCTAGGTAGCCATGTATCGGTACATATTGGATCTGTTTGTCGTGCCCTTGCAACTGCTGGTACGTACTGAATGCTGGCTTCGTAACGTGGCAGCAGCTACCGTATGCACCATGTTTCGCTTTCAGACTTGGGTACCCGGCTTCGAGTTCGCAAGTGCTAGATGGTCCTTCGGGTCGACCAAGCAATTCCACGCAAAAAAGCTGAACTAACAAGCAACCACAACACAAACACAACAACACAAAAGAATAGGCAAACATTATCTAGCTTTCGCAAGAACATCTACAATCCAAACGAAATGGAGCCCGGCAATCCTCATCATCAAACGCTTGCGACTGACTTGCAGTTCTCCCATTACATTCATTTGCACCGATTCCAGGCTGCGCACCGTATTCTGAAGAGACAACGTTGAAGAGAAGAAACGAAAAGCCTGCTGAAAGGGCAATCAGTGCCGAAGACCCGAAGCCGCTGCTTCTGTCTGATTGGAGTAATTGTTTCAGAATGTTGATGTATTTGGGAAAGAGACGACTTGTATTCGCCAATTGGAGATCGTCTGCCCCCTCTGATGCTCATGCGCGGGCGCAGTTCGGGCTTCCTCAACGGCCCGCCTCAATTTCTGCTGGCCTGGTCATCGTTTGGGAACGTCACACGCTGTAAACGAGCACTGCTGCGGGTGTGCACGGAAGTAGATCCAGAACAAGACGAAAATGCCCGTGGCTGGCAAGTGGACTCCCAAAAATCTCGCTACCTGTGCTGCTCCTCCGCAAAAAGAAACCCCTCTTCGCGTTTAGGAGATTGATAAAGCTTTTTGGCTTCAAAGCAGGGCGGTTCCGTCCGGTGCTCGTTGGGCGTTTCCAGGAAACTGCTCTCCATCTCGCTTGCATCTTCGGCCTTGTCGATGCAGCACGGATTTTAGTGCAGCATGGCGCAATTGTCGATCTGAAAGAAACTCAAGGTGGGAGAACACCGTTGGCTATTGCTGTGAACGATACCAAAACTTCGAGATGGCCAAGATGTTGCTGGAGGAAGCAGGTGCCGATGCGAATGCCTCGAATAGCAACGGATGGACCCCTTTGTTAGCAGTTTACGCCAATGCTGTCAAGTACAAAACTGCCACCGACTGGGCCCACTTGTTGCTGAGCAATAAGGCAAACCCAGATGCATGCGTGAATGGGAATAAGCAGATCAGCCCTTTTGTGTTGGCATTGTACAACTGTCGTCCATTCAATGAGGAATCAATCAAGCTAGTTGAGATCCTCCTTAAACACGGTGTGGATCCAAACACAGAGATACATGGTACCGGCATCTCGCCTCTGATGTTGGCAGCTTCATCCAACAACGTCCCTTTGGCGAAGCTGTTGCTCTCCCACGGCGCAGATCCGGATTGGCAAAAGAACACAGGTGCCGAAACAGCATTGCTCTGTGCCATTGGCAACAACAACATGGGAATAGCGCAATTGCTGCTTGAGAACGGAGCAAATCCGAATCTTCAGTACCACAAAGACAAGAAGACTCTGCTTCGAATGGCTGTTGAAGGAGGAGATGTTCCGGCTATCAAAATGCTGATGGGCTTTCACGCTGAGGTCTCACCAGGTATTGAGATCCCCAAGGCTACAACGACAGATGGGCAGCTGAAACTTGACTTCGGCCCTGCAAACCCAAGGCCTAGAGAACCCACGACAATCTCCTCACAGCCCAGACATGAGGACACTCGATCTTCATCTCCACGAGTAGAAGCATCCAACCTCAGGCACAGCGATGACGACGACGATCTGTTGACGCAGTTCCGAGAAGCCGTTTCGGATCCTTCCTTGGATGTTGCCACTGCCAGCTACTTCTTGGAACTGAGCGACAGAGACGTTCAGGCTGCTGCTGTCAAGTACAAGGAAGCGAGCCAAGACATGTAAGGGCGTGTCAGTAAACCTACAACGGTTCGTAACTACGAACAAGTCGCCAGAGGGATGACAATTGCTTTAGGTCCACCCAGATGGTGACTACGGATACAATACAATAAACTAAATTATTAACCGTCATACATATAAAGAGACTGGCCTACCGTGATCCCAAAGAGGTCCGTCCTCCAACGAGGAAACTTTCGTCTCCACTCTCCGTAGCCATCCCGTTACACCACTTTGCTTTTAATTTTCTCCACAC